AATATGTTCGGTATAAAATGGACGCACCATAAAAACATTTCAGAATGTTCATCGTTATTGCTGTTCCAATTGGCTGATGAAATGAGGTAACCCGGGGTTCTTGAAGACGTGTAAGGAGTTTGGTGTGGCGGTTGTGGCGGTTGTGGTGGCAGCCGCGCCAGCGGGGACGAGATCGTGGAGGGAAGCGAAGGAATGATGGGAACGGAGTTGTCCGAGAAGGCAGCCAGCGAGGCATGGCACAGCCACAGGAGACCAACTGCGCACCAACAGAACTGCGCACTGCGCGCACAGCGCTCCCCTCGTTGGGCTGTCCCAGGCAACCACCAACACCAACACGCACTAGGTGAGCAGAGAGAGCCTCATTGCAGCCCTCATTAACCCGTGCTAGGTAACTCCTGTTGCCACTGACGTGTAAACCGAAATCGAAGGGCCGCCGAGAACGGGGGGAGGGCGGCAGCGCTGGTCCTTACATATGTGAGCATTTTTCCCCCCTTCCTTCATCTTTGCTCACAAGCCCGTTCTTTACTGCCACCAGAAAGCCACTACCGGTGGGTTACCACATTTTCCAACATGGGCTAGCTATAATCGAACATTTAGTATCTTGTAATCTCCTCACTAACAAGCCCGTTCGTTACTGCCACCAAAAGGAGTCTGACTCCACTACCGGTGAGTTATCACATCTTCCGACACGGCCCAGCTCTAACCCAACATTTAGTATCTTGGAATCTCCTAAATACAGTCTCTGACGACTTCCCTCTTACCTGTTTTTCAAAGGTGGGTTACACCAGTTCCGACATTGCTTAAATCTAACGATTTGTTCAGTATATCGTAACATGGACTACGAAGCGGATCCTTCCCTGCTCTTTACGCCCGAATCCCCCAAAACCACCGCGGTGGAAGCCGACGCGACGCCTTCGCGCAAAATTTGGACGCAACGGTGGACTACTCTCCAGCCCTCTCCGATGATCTCGCCAGTGCGGCCTTCGACTTCAGTGGCATCAAGGCCCTCCGAACTCAGCCCACCACGGCCACCGAGCCGGAAAACGACGACGTGTTCGGTGGCACCAGCATTTCTCACAATAAAAAGGCCGCCGTCTCGCTGCCACACGTAGAGGCGATACCGGAGCAACGCACCGACGAGGAGGAGGAGGAGGAGGAGGATGAGCTGGAGTCGCCAGCACACACCATGCAACAGACACGCATCCTGTCGCCCGTGGAATTCGGTCCCGGCGTCACCTTCCACTTCCCTTCTTTCGAGCAGCAAGTCGGTGGAGGACGGATGCGCGAGGCGACTCCCCCCTGTCCAGAAGACATCCCCTCGACACGCCTCCGAGCCGCCGTCTGCGGCACTGCGCGTGCAAGCCCAATCACCCATTCCGCCATCAGCCGTAGAGCGGCGGCAGGCGCTGCTGCCGCTCCCTCCACCTCGTCCTTATTGCAGGCTCCCCCTCATGGCCTTCTAAACGGTCCCAGTCAAGTTTTTATGGACGCGCTCGGGTTTGAACGTGTCGCCATCCCACCTCCTCCGCCTGGATTTCAGGCAAAGACCGACCCCCCTCCACGTCGGGTCAAGACCATCGCAAAGAATGGCGGCGGCGGCGGCGCCACCGAGCCCGGCAGCCAAGCACGTACCTCCTCCACCGTCAATGCCGCCGGCCCCTCCGCCATCCCACCGCGCGCCTCCTCTTCGAGCAACGCCCCTCCCGGCACCGCATCGAGCAACGTTCCTCCCAGCGCCGCTGCCAGCGCCTCCATCGGCACGGCCGGCGCCACTGCTGTCGGCCCCTCCACCGTCACTGCTGCCGGCCCCTCCACCGCCATCCCGCTGCCTACGTCGACGAGCGACCAAGTCGCCACTAATGACGAACCGAACCCTGACGACCTCGATGCCTCGAGTGTGACGCCCGATGGTCCTGGGCGGCTCCGGGTGGAGCAGCGGCGCCAGCTGGACGATTGCATTTCAGAGATGCAGTCGAAGGTGGCGGCCTGTGCTGCGAGCGCCGGCCTGTCTGAGCGCCGCATCCTCCGCGCTTTCGCCAAGGAGGTCGAGGGCGGGCCGCCACGGCGCGTGAACCTGTTGAATAGATACCAGCCATACTCGCTCAGTGCGGAACACCGGCTGGAGGAGATGCGGCGCGTGAGGGAGGAGGCGGAGGAGGATGACGACGACCTCGACCAGGAGGAGCGAAAGCTCGCATACCGCGCTTTCATGGACTCCTACGGCGACGACGCGTCGGAGATCCTCTCACTGTATGAGGAGCTTCTTCTTGAGGAGGGAGACCAGACTTATCTGGAACGTGGCCGACTTCTGACCAAGGTCTTTGCAAACGGAGAAAAAATGGTGCGATTATTTCTTCCTGCACCATTGCTCTTTTTCTACTCGTACTGACTTGTTTCGTGGAAGGTCTCGAGGGTTCATCAGAAGTACGGCTTGGAAGGCTGTGTGATGTTCATAGGTTCGCACCTGAACGAGGACGCTCAAATTGCGAAGTGCTTTTTGACCCCAGGTCTCTCCGAGGTACGTGTCCCCGTAATTGCGAGTTATTGTAGCTAAACTAGTATGCCGTATAGCTGGCCGCAACCCTGCATCTAAGTCACGACGACTTCCTCGGTGCTGTCAAGTTGACTGCATAGTAAGTCAATTTATTCTTACCCTTTCTTCCTTGGCTTATCCGTTACCAAGTAACGCCCAAAATCGTGCCGTGAACACGCTCGCCGGTCGTCCACCCATCCCCGAAGGTGCCACCACTGGTTTCTATGCCCCCGATACCACTGCTGCCACCACCGCCACCACCTCCGTTCCCTCCACCTCTACCGCCACCGCCACCTCCGCCAGCCCCACGGCCACTCGGACCGCACTCAAGAGAGAGCGCAGCCCGGCCAATGCGGACGCGAAGCACCAAGCAGCGAAAGCACGCACCCAAAGTCATGAAGAGGACAAGAAGTCACTGCAGGCGCTCTTCCGACAGAAGGCGAAGGAGGATCTCGGGCCCGGGACCGCCGACATTTTCACGGACCCCAAACGCCCGGGGTCATTTGTTTGGGTTATCCTCGGCTCGTGGCTCAAGACGCATAATATCCGTATGCTCGGCTTCCCGACCGACGCTCGCCTGCCGGGGCTTTCACGTGTATCGAAGGGTGCCAGCGCCTGGCGCGTGATCGACGTCCGCGCCTTCAACAGAGCTTTCAGAGCTCGCGTCAAGGATGGGCAAGGCCTACGTTTCGAAAAATTCACATACAGCAGCAAAGGTATGTGTAGCCGCCCTTTTCTCCCCTTCTCCTTTACTGAACCCGGTTGTAGATGAGCTGTCCATTCTCACGCACGACTACTCCACCCCGACCGCAGCTGGGCCACTCAGCGCCATGCGCGCCGCGTTCACGTCTTCCAATGGGAAAGCGCTGCCGTGCGTGGACGGCGCTAACAAGATGTGGATGGCATGCTTTGATCTGTCCAAGTCCGCCAAGGCCCTGGATAGAACAGCCATCACGACCGCAATCGCTCGCCAGCTGGATGCGGCGTCAAAACCTTCAAGAACGGACTTCGAGGGAGACACTGACAACGAGCAGGACCAGGAGCACGACGCGGAAGACGAGGACAACGGCAAGGCCCGACTACCAAAGGAATCCGCTAAGGCCAAGGGAAAGAGGGCACGCGCCAACGATCCCGAGTACACGACGGACACGGACCCGGAGTCGGAGGACGAGACCTCGCCTCCTCCTCGCAAGAAAGCCGCCGCTCAGCAGCCAACGCCACGGCTCACACGCGCCAAGGCGGCCGAGCAGATACAGCAGGAAGGTGGAGGGAAGGAGAAGGAGAAACCAAGGACGGTGAGGTTCGCTCCCCGAGTCTCCGTCGCCGGCAAAGACACCGACAACGACAACGACGCCGACAACGACGACAACCTCCCGCTCGTCGCCCGCCCCACTGCCCGCCCCACTACCCGCCGCACCAAGCCCCTCCGCGTCCAAGACTCTGATGCGGAGTCGGAACTCTCGCATGCCCCCCTTCCATGCCTGAAGCCCGTCGTGGAGATCCCATATCACATGGACATCTCCCCACGCCATCGTCAAAGCCGGCCCCACGATCAAGTCTCGTGCAACGAGGTCCAAATGGACCCCCTCATCTCCTGCCTCGTAAACACGCAGATGGCCCGGCCCCAGCCCAAGCCGCTGAAACGGAAGCGCGACGCCACTGCCGACAGCACTGCTGATGGCACTGCTGTGCCTACGTCGGCTGGCCCTGCCATCACCGCACACGCTGACGGCGCCACTAATAGCGCAGTCGCCACCGGGTCAGTCGCCAGCCGCAAGCGCAGGAACATCGACAATGGTCCCATCCGCGGTGCTGACACCGTCGCCGACCGCACTAGCCACAAGCGCCAGAACGGGAATGATGGTGCTATCGCCAGCGCCAGCTCCACTAGCGCCAGCTCCGCCAGCGTCAGTGTCCGTGGCGTCACCCCCACTAGCCGCAAGCGCAAGAGCGGGAATGGTGCGATTGCCAGCGCCAGCTCCGCCAGTGTCAGCACCCATGCCGCTGCCCCCAGTGGCCCTATCCCCGGCTCCAACGCCGCCCATGCCGCCACCCCCAGCGCTGGGCCATCTAATGCGGCCGCTGCGCATACCGCCCCTAGCGTCCCCGCGTCCGGCTCCGCGCTGCTTGAGGCGATGTTGAGCATGCTCACAGCCGATCAATTGGCTGCGATGATGGCGCGCGTCAGTCAGGGCAGTCACTGATTTTTACTTCGCATTATCTTGTCGGACTATCTTACTATCTCGCTCGCTATCTTGCTGTCTCGCTGTCTTGCTGCCGTACTATCTTGCTGTCGTACTATCTTGGTTATCTTGTGTAGCTATAGCTTTTGTATCATGTATATAGATCTGTATACCTACCTGTACATTTTGTACCTACATCTCATGAATGCATTTTTGTAGGCTCCCTAGAAGGGAACATGCGTTAGGTGACGGCTACTTACTACTACAATCTGGCTCAGCCTTTAGACCCTATGGTCTAGTGGTATGACGCCCGCGTAAACATACTCCATTTACTTGTTTTTCCGGGAGGTACCCCGTTCGAATCGAGGTAGGGTCGTTTTTCACGAATGTTTTTTTTCATATGTTTTTTTCGGTATGTTTTTTTAAAAAAAGAAAAGATTCGTCCTCGAGAGCCGCCGCTACGCAGCTGGCTGAGTTCTTCTCCTTTTGGTATGTTCTTTTTTAAAAGACAAGAAAAAAGACAAGAAAGGACTCGTCCTCGAGGCAGAGCAAGTAAGTACTTGAATGATCATGAATCATTTTGAATTGAGTGGGCAAAAAAATTGAGGGTACGGAAAATGGAGGACGGCGGTGACGTCGCGTCTCCGAGACGGCGAAGGCAACGGCACCGCGGCGGGCGCGAGCGCACTTATGTAAATAGCGTGCTTCTTCCTTCGCTGCCGTCGACCCCTCTTAGGGGTATTTAGCTCATACAGAAGAATATGCCTAACAGGCCCTTTACGTAACCGCGAAGGAGCTCGCTGGGGTGGTCGAGGAACGGGGACTGGAGGTTAGGTCAGTATTCCGTTGATCTTCCCGGAGACAGATGATGAATGAAGAGCAGAAGTGGAAGGAGCAGATAACAGCGGCGGCGGCGAGCACGAGGACAAGAACGCGTCCGAGCCCGGGACACCGCCGACACACGGCCGCCCCGCCCAAATATACGCGAAATGCGAAACATCAAACCGCCCGGCGTCTCCTCTTCTGGAAACCGCCTAACCAGACATGCGACAGCATGCGACGTCAAACAAGAACAGAAACGCCCGTTTCCGGCGAAACACCGAAAATAATAATAATAGCCGTCCGCACGAAACGAGACGAAACGCACGAGTCAGCGTAGAGTGGAAATTGAGGCATCAGGTATAACATTGGGAGAGCCATCCGGTTGGGAGATATCGCCTTCTTTGGAGCAATTCAGAATCGACGCGCAAGAGAGCCGGCCGGCCATTAATAATAACGATGGCCGTAATGGGCCAGGAACGAGTGCTTAGCGCTTAGCGCTTATCGCCAACGGAGGCCGACGGCAGCGCGATGTTGCAAAGCGTGAGCAAAAAACGGTGAGAAAATGGAGAAAAGAGAAGATAGATTTGGCCCTCGACAGCGTTAGTTTTATAAGGAGAAAGGACCGTGATGTGGCCCTGGCGTCTCTGGTGAGTCATCGTGGCACTATTTATTCAGTAATCGTGCGTGAAACCCTTCATTCTTAGCACCCATACCCCGAACCATGGGCGGCGCATTCGATACCACGTTGGCCGCCGGAATCCAGGATCTATCTGCGATACTATCCCTGCTCGGCACAGAGCAGTGCGAACGACACGTTGGATCGGCCCTTCGTGGCGGCAGACGTGGCGGCTACCTCTATGCGGCCGTTACGCCTATCTCGATATTCGGGAGCCTCGGGGTCGCCAAGGCCACATTCAGCATTATGTTCGCGAGTCTCCCCAGGTTTGGGGCGGCGCGACTTAAACATCTGGGCTTTGAACCTGCGGGCGACGCTGTGAAGATGATTACCCTAGAAGGAGGGTGTTATCTCGCCGAAGTATACTTCCTGGAGCTCCTCAAGAAGCATTTCATCACAGACGTGCAGGGACTGCGGGTGACATTTGCGGCGTCCCGCCGGTCTTTGAGCTGGAACCTTCAGCTCCTGATCTCCTCGCTGCTCGTCGCCGCTCTTGGTGTTATCCCGTACCTTACGTTCTCTGTTCGCCATGATACCTCATATTTGTCTCTGGCAATCTTTTTCCCGCTGTGCCGAGTTGTAGGCGGATTCCTCTGCGTCCTCGCCGGTCAGCTGGTTTTACAACAGCGCATCGCATTAATCCTGCGCCAACGTGTCTTGTTCAAGCTAATCAACGACCCCTTGAAGCACAATGTCAATTTGAAGGTTCCCACCAGGCTCATTCCAGTCTGGTCGGAGTCTATCACGTCGGAGTCTTGCCTCGTCTGTCTCAGCAAATTTTTGGACACGAAGGAGACGCGGAATCAGGGCCGTTTCATCGGGCATCTAGTTGGGTCACTCGACCAGCTTCGGACAGAATTTGAGTGTTTTCATTGCTTCGGTCTTACCCAACATGGGGTGCGTTATCATTTTCGTTGATGAACAACTGCGGCTGAGAACGGTTTCACAGGTCCCGGGACCTAGGTGGCTTGTTCGAGGCCTGGACATCTCCAGTTGGTTTAATCCTTCTAACATGGTGTGTTTTCATCCAACTGTTTGTCTCATTTCTTCTGAACCCTGAAAAGCCCTGCAATTCTGAACCCAAAGGCACCGAGTCTCCTCCGGAAAAAAAAAACGCGAGGAAGAATTTAGCCAAGGCAAGAGCAGGCTTAAAGCCGCTCGTCACGATTTCGTGGGCATATTCGGTCCTGACGTTCGCAATGCTCCTGGGTTTTGGGATGTCTTGAATTGTTGGATACGTCGGGTGTTCCGCCATCGTCCAAGACGGCCGCTCCACTGCCACTGATATTTACACATGGCTTGCTCTCGAATTCGCACTCTCCCTACTTCGCGTCGGTGTGTGGGCGTGGAACCCATCCTTCGATGATCCGGACGGCATACGGGTCGATCTCAAAGGACCACGGCCGCTTCCCATCGTCCCCATTCTTCCTGTTTCTCCCACCAAAAGAATTGGTCGCGAAGAACCCGGGCGTACTCTCCCCTTTCCCAATTCCGATCTCAAAGAGCACGACGGACGTCGTTGCTTCAAAATTATGAACGAGATGAAATTCTGGGAGAGCCTCACCGCGTATTCTGGTCCCCTCGATCTCGGTAGCATGCACAGGATCGCCGGATTTGAGCATTGGTATGCCTGGGTGACGAAAGCCGAAGGAAAGGATGGTCGTTCTGACACCAACCTGTGTATTCTCCTCAAGGGGAAGCACAGGATCCTGTGCATGCTGCCTAAACAGGCCACCAAGCTGGACGACCTGTCGCAGATCACTTACCACCACGCCGAGATGGTAGAATCCGACACCTTGGTGGATGCAGTAGTGCTGCCAGAGGAAAAATTACCTTCTCAGCATGAACTGATGTCGCCAGGATCGGCATTCACGGTCGAGGTTTCCAAACATTGTCAATTCATCGCTGCGGCTGTTGACAACCAGACTGCGTATGGTAGAGTCCCCATTATTAAAGTGTCGTGGTTGTTGTCCGATTCATTGTAAGCAATCTTCCCTCTCTACGTTGGACATCCGCTGAGACAGGGAAATCGTTAGAGTGGAAAGAAACAACATGGAAGAGCGCCGCCATGTCTCCGGCACTGACTCCGATATTGAGGCTGGTAATGCTTTTGAGGAAGCGTGGGTTAAGATTGAACCAAAGCTTGGCATGATCCTCCAAGGCGAAGCGTTGACTGTGAAGTTTGATACTTCATCTAGGGCCTTTGTCGAAGGCACAAGCTCATTCCAAGGTGTGTTTTCCAGGTTCTCGCCAGAACGAGAAGTCCATACTGATTCGGCCGCTGTCAGAATTATACCAACAGCTGGAGAAACACTTGGATAAACGTACAAAAGAAATCGATGTTGTCGTGCGGGCCTCACCTCCGAGCATGTTGCAAAATTATGATCAACAGTGGAGGTTATATTCCAATGCGATACCGGTCCTCGATCGCGTTTTCACCAGTCTCAATGAATGGGCACATAAACAACGTGAGAGAGGAACAGATATTGAAGTTGTTGGGAATGTGCGGCTAGCGTCCGGTCACCGAAATCACAAAGACGTTGACCTTCACTTTTCTTCAGGTTGCACTGAAATTTTGGAGACAAAATGTGCTCGATCAACTTGAAAATCAGGTGCCCGAGGAAGATCGCTTCAAGGAAGTTCGCGCTTTTTTCATGTCGCGGGATCTGAAAAGCGATGATTTCAAAAGCATGTACCTGGGTGTAAGGAAGGTCACTGTATATGCTCCAACACCCGACTTGATAGCCCGTCTATTCCCAATCGGCTCTGAGGATAGAGAAGGCTATCAGAAAGCGGAGTCGTCCGGAGACGCGGATATTGTGATTGGCATCGACGGCGACGAAAACATTTTCATCAAGGAGATGAAGGGCCCCGTTAGCGGGTATGTCGACAACATGCGCGCCTTGCTCAAATTCCACCCACAACTGCACCTACCTTCTGCCATAGATGGTGTTGCCAACTTCTACCATTTCCTGGAGTGCCAAAATGAGAGGACGTCGCTCTCGGGTTTTACACTCAATATGTACGAACTGGAGGGCGAGTTTCCAGGACGCACGCCGAAGGGAGGTCTTGATGGTGGAAACCTCATTCAACCCATCCCGAATAAACAGGGAATGTACAAGGTCGGACTTGTCTCCCACAAAGGAGCCAAGTACGGTTTCGAAATTCGCAATAGGACTGGGAAAGACATATTCCCATATTTCTTTTATTTCGACCCCGACGAATTTACCATCGATGTGAGTGGTAATTGTACCGATCCTGGGAACATACCATTTACAGTGTTGGTACGCTCTCGAAAGTATATACTCGCCCTTGCCCAACAAGGGACAAGTAACCATCGGGATGGGCGGAGAGACAAGCTTCCAGTTCATGTTACCCCGGGGAATACAATCGGCCATTGGATTCCTCAAGCTTTTTGTGTCGACAGAGAACCTCGATCTTGTGTCTATCGAACAGAAAGAATCCCCCTCTGTGCAAGCGAGTTCCGGGCGTCAGCTTCAGAATTCCGACGGAATTCTTCCAGAATCCAGTAATTGGGCCGCCCTTGTGGTAGTTTTACAAATAGATCAAGGGACGAGCATTTAACGACTCTCAGTATATTATATATCCTGTCACTTGGTGTAGGTCTTTAAACCATTCTTTGAATTGCTTTATCTCCGATTCTTCGGAACTCGAAGCTGAACCTGATGTGATGAGATGCCCCCCAGCGAAATGTGGTATTGTATTTTTTCATTCAATTCGACAGCGGTGCGACATTTTGGGCCAAATCGTGAATCCCATAAATCCAGAACAAATTATTGGCGGGGTCCCCGACTTTCGGTGTTCGGATGCGTGACTGTCGAATTGATGTAAAAAGATACAGTATCGTTCTCGCTCGA